TGTGATGGATAATAGCAATTTGTATAGTTATGCTTATACAAAATGTTAAGTTCAAAGAAGATTTTAGCAAAAATGTTACGTTTACAGAATGAAAAATACCTTATGGTACCTTTAAAATTATATACGTCTTTCGATACACTTGATTATGCACTCGTAAAAAAAATGATCTTTGGTTACAAGCAATAGATTACATAAGTTAGGACAATAGATGAGCTGATTAATTACGTAACTAGCTTTCATTAGCTATACATAACAACCATACGGGCTACTCCTGAAAGGAAAAGGTTAGTATTTGTACTTCTTTTCATAATTCTTATTTCCATAATAATTTTAGTTCTAACGTAACGCTCTTAAAATATTACAGAATTAAAATTGTACTCTGCGAGCCTTTTGTTCTGAAAATAAATCTATGGCAACGTCATAATTAACTTGATGTACTGTTTGATTTTCTGTTGCAAGACTTGATAAACGCTCCTGGCTCATCGATGATCTCAGATAGTTTTTAATAAGTTTTAATTTGCTAAAACTTCGCTTACAGCTTGCGGATGTAGTTGGAAGCATAGAATAAATCCGCAGGGCAATACAAATATTGTGAAAGGCATCCTGAAAATCATAGGTGTAGATCTGTTGCAAGAGATAAAAAGCTGTAGCCTTTTTCATGTCAACGAATAACACTGGGGCGCACTAACTCTTTGCCCCAATGAAGATCTCAAATGTCTTCCATCACGTTCAGTGTACCTGAAGTCTACGTTGCCTGGATATTTTTCGGCTAATAATACAGCTTGACTACTAAGAAAGATTGTTGCTGATCGCTCATTTTTTCTGTGATTGGCCAACTACCCGGGTCCGACAAATCAAAAGATTTTAAGTCTTCGTTCTGCTGCCCACGCTCACCTAAATGAGAATATACTTTATATCCTAATTTCATGTGCTCTAGATGTTAGTTTGGGGTCTATGGAGAAAGTTGTTCTCTCAGTTGCTGAAATGAAGTCTGTTTGAGGATGATAGATGAAGATTCTTCATTTTGGTCATGCAAATTGCAAGAAATATCAATATCGTTTAGAATCTCTGCACCATTGGAAGTTGCGGCAGGGTCTGACGGTTCGTCAGACCGTCCATTTCCGTGAAGCCATTTTTCATTTTAGCTGCAATTAGTTTTCTCTGTTCGGTCCTATCTTTTGCTCTGGTTTAATATTCTGCCCCTGAGAGTTTTTTTCCTAGATCCTCTCATGATTTCTTGTACCCTAAATAATATATAGTATAACTTGCCTTAAAAAAAAAAGCTAAAAATTAAAAATTGACGTAATTATATTCTACCGTCTTAGGGCCGCGTCGCGGAAGCGCGTGCTAACTAAATGGTTGCGTCTCGCTAAATATGGTGAGGAATATTGAAAGCAGGCATATTAAAGAAAACGAGAGAACAAAAAACCCCCTCCAAACTAAAAATTAAAAAAAAAAAAAAAAAAAAAAAAAAAAAAAAAAAAAAAAAAACCTAAAAAACTAGAAAAATAATAAATCCATTTTTAAAACCTAAGTTGCCAACTGGCTGCAAAAAATCAAAATGCCTTATTTCATTTCTGTTGTATATTCTCGACGTACATTAATTTGAATTATTTTCATTGGTCCAAGGTTAATTTGATATTGGGTGTTAGGAGAGTTACAATTTACAATGCTTCTCCATTTATTTCGCGAGAGGCGTTCGCAAGGCGCCTCTATGCTATCGTTCTGTTTTTCATTTGAATATTCTCGCCAGAAGAGAGGATAACAGAGGGACTCTAGGCAAAGAAGTTGAAGGGATAGGAAAGATATATAGATTCTTTGCTTTCAGGCGTCACTTCACAGGGTACCAAAGACCAAGCCGTTTACAAGAGTACCTTTTGTAATAAAATTGCATGTTGGGTTGGCAGAGGGACAGGGTACTTTGACTTTTTCAGTGACGCCTGTAGTCCCTCTATTGTCCTCTTTCTGATCTTATCTTTAGAGTCGTGATCGGCTGTACTTAGCATACTTTTAAAACTGTTTGCTCCATAAAAGGTTTCGAGTAATTAATTATAAATATTCTTAAAAGAGGTTTTAAACCTGGGTTTGAAACTACTAATTTTGCATCAAAATTTGACAACATTCCAAATACGATTCAGCGCCACTCTTGAATTTGCCGCCCTCAGAAGTTGCCGCCCGGGGCACAGACCCCGGCTTGTCTTCCCTAGATCCGGGACTGGATCAAATAATGTTGAACAGTTCAAAAATGTTTTAGCTTTTAGAAATTGAAACAGCTTAAGACAGCAAAAAATATGAAGAGTTTCAAATTTTAACTATCGCTCGAAAGGTTTGTTAAGGTTGTCTACGCTCTTGCTGAGCTCGCACTCTACCAGTCTGCTGGTATACGCACTCCTACTAACAACCCCTTTTTTTGTCCTTTTAGTTTATTATTAAGCATCCTTTTCTTAGCACTTAAGCAATATACAATTTAAAACCAAAATTACAAAAATTTTAAAAGCAGCATAGCAGTATATGTTTAGAATTCCCGACGCAGCGTGAAGTGTTGGCATGTATTTTTCTATTTTTGAGTCTTTTCTCAGTCCATCATATCAATGTTCAGTTTTCTTAAGATGGTTTTACGAAACTTTTGTTTTGTCTTTTTATTATTAACGTTCTGTATGATTACTTTATTTATTAAATATCACATTCTTGGCTCTTAAGCCACATAAAATTAGATTCAACAGCAAAATCACAAAATATTTAAAAACAGCCTATCTTCAGAATTTCCGACAGACAGTATCACTCGCTGGAGATAAAAATGTTTTATTCCGCTCAGTGTTGCCAATGCTTGCTTTGAAATCCTTGAGTAGGTTTATCAGAAATTCGCTAAGTTTTAAAAAATGTGACAAATTTGGAATTCAAAATTCGGGCTTCCAGGTCAATATGTTCGGGTGGAGGGCTACGTTATTCAAAATTTAATGGCTCTAGGTACTGTTGTTTTCTCATAATGTGGGAAACATGCATATATTAAGTGCAGATTCTTCATTATTAAATGTCTTGAAATAAAATACAGAGCGATAATAGTTGGTGGCAACAATTTAAAAAGTGATTCAACGCATTTAAGTGTTTCGACGCAAAATACCGTTTCGAGACTAAAAACCTACTCGGAACATACGTCCCTTTTGGGCTAAAAAGAACACATACAAAAATGGCAACATTACTCGAATGAAGGCTTGTTATGAGACTAAACATCGAAACACACGTCGAAAGTAAGCACCAGAAATGGCATAGCCCTTGGAATCTTCCACCTAAGAAAAGAACCCGTTTCTGGTTTGAACGTCTTTGGTTTATGAGTAGAAACTAGACTTTTTGTCGCTCGCCGCAAACTCCACCCCAAATCAAAAATTCTGCGTCTCGGTTCCTTTCTAAATTTTTAAAATTTTGCCGCCCCTGAATTACGCCGTCCAGTGCGGTAGAATGGATATATGTTCTGGCACCGGCTCTGGTTATGAGCATGGTCCATTGAACAATGCTTATGTGCAGAATTACCAGGCACATTCTGAAAATTTAGCGACTTCTTCTGAGATGGCTGCGATAACACCTAAGTACCCAATATTGAATACAAGCCGCTGGCTGTCATTATCGGAGACAGACATGGGACAATGCAAAAATGAAATTAATCACTTTTATAATTAGGTGGAGGCAGCGCACGTTAAAGACTTACCAACTGTAGGTCTTATTTGCTTTAGTTGATTATGGCAAAGCACACCAGAGCTGTCTGCCTAAGGGAGGAGATGCCTTCGTCGAGGTCTTTCTAAGGGAAACTGGCTTGTATACACATTTACTCGTGAGGAAAACCACGAAAACTCCCATACAGCTAGCCCGTTCGCCTGGACTCGAACCCTGATCGGAAAAACTTGCGTGTCCATCATGAAAATATCACAATCAAAATATGTACTTTAGCGAAAAAATATTTTCTGCTCCCAAGAGTGCTGTGGGATGTTATTAATCTACGTTAAACAGCACAGCTAATTAAAATTGAACTTCCGTGGAATTAGAATGCGTGATTTTTGCTTCCTAAAATTTGTTCATATTTGTAAAATTAAAAATGATAATTGATGAAAACTTAATAAATTACAAATCTAGTTATTTTTCCAAAACATTCATATTTTTAATTTAGTTTTTATCTCTATGTTACTTTCGTGATTATTTGTGTTATTGTTATGTTGTATGTTATACAGGGTGTCCGAATCAAATGTACCTATTTTGAACAGTCGATTAAAAACAAACTTTCAGTGCTACGAGGGCGATATTGGCCACATGTGGGAGCCAAATTCGTACAGGTTGGAGATTATATTTTTTCTCGCGTCTGACGCACCTGCGCTTTTGCTGAGCCGACAAACAGAAAATGGCGTCACAGCAAGAGAAGACACAAATTGTTCTCTGGTATGCAGAACATAAATCCGTAGTAAAAGTAGCAAAGAATGTTTCAAACAGTTTATAAAAGAAATCCAGACCAGGCTAAGAGCATGAAAAAGTGGTACAAACATTTCTCGAAGCGTAAGTGTACAGAAAAGATCCGGAGGTGATCCGCGTTCACATTCTGATGAAGATGTTCGAGAAGCTTCAGTTCGGAGGATGCGTCAGTCGATCAGGCAGGCAGCTTCTGAATTATTTGTACCACCATCAACTGTTCATGATGTGCTGCATCGAAAACTGAGGATGCATGCATATATAGGTACATTTAATTCGGACACCTTATATCTTATAGAGAAAAACTGAACCCTATATATTATAAAATAGAAGGGGACTGATGAAAGAACCCATTATTTTAAAAAGAAAACTCTACGAATTCCTGTAGTACAGTATTATTAGCTTACGTGAACCAATTTTGCAGGACAGACCTTTTCAAAGTAAAATTGTGCAATACCGGGGTATTCAAATCAGCAATGATCAAGATTCCTTTACTGGGGCAATCTGAGTGAATATTATGCTCTTGGAAAATGAAATTCAATAACTTCTGAACAGAAAACAAGTAAATTTATGTTTATTTGCAACTACTAGCACCATAAGTCATTATTGGTGAGATTCTGAATAGGTTTGCCCTTCAAAGATTGTGGTTCTGCACACTTGGCCCAAGTGTTCCTCGGGAAGGATACGGACAACATCCACTTCATTCTGCAATCACAGCGTAAATGATTATCTGCAAAACAAATACATGCAATTAGTTTTATTGTACGTTTAAAATAATAAAGCATTACGGTATCGTAAGCTTAAATCTTAGTTTTGAGCTAATTTAAAGAGAGAAAAAAATCTGTTGTGGCCAGCACATAACATTCGGCCAATTCAATGATTTACGTAGAAACGAGCTTTTAGTAAAGTACTGATCGTTCTACATAAACATTGTGACAATGATTTGAACATAAAATATAACCTGATATTCCAATAAAATTAATAAGCTAGGTTGTAAGTACTATACCAAAAAGACAATAAACATAATCGTCTGTCATACGAAATTTTTGATTAAATTTTATTAGATATAACTGGTAATGTAAAAACTGATTTCTGTAAATTTATTTCATCAGAAACTAATGCTTTTCTCTTTATTTCCTTTTACTGGATATTGTATTTTATTGTACAATTCAATAACATGTCACTGAAAGCTTAACTACGAAACATGGTAATTTTGGAAGTTTCTCATAAAAGTTATCATGACATACAGATACAGACAGATATCATCGTAAAAATAGTCAAAATATGCTGTAAAGATCTTAATTCGTGCTAATTCATGGAAAGCTGACTACTGAGTTTTTGAACCAAAACCATCACCCCCCTTATCTCTGTACATAAGTTGGGGATATTTAGAAATAAAGCGAAAGTGCTTAGAAAGGACAGCTAAATATAAAATACGCCGGATATCAAATTGATATTTCTTTGCACTAAGTAATTTATCCAGTTGCCAACCAGAGTCGCACTACTAGTGATTGAACAGGTCGGACTGATTCTCAGACATGACGTGAATGAATACAAAAGCTTGTACTTGGATAGTGGTGCGGAAAAGCATATTGTTTTGCATCGCATGGCATGGTAAATCACAGCAGTAGAATAGAAGCTAGCAAATCGCAACAGGCAGCTTCATATGAATACCTCCTAAAGGGAACTACCCTCTGTGACGGTATGACATCACAAATGCACAGTAGAAAATTTTAAATAATGAAGTTTTGGTTGAGAATTCCATTTCCTTGGTGTGTATGTTTTCTAAATGTAATTTAATGAGCAGTTTTTTTTTTAAAGTAATAAAGACTTTGAGGTTATCTTTGTGTTTGAAAATTCGAGCATGAATTTTCAGCTCATCCTAAGATGTAGCTGAGATAAATATTTTCAACATATGTGGCGACATAAGTCCTCAGAAGTATTCAGTATCATCATCCTCAGTATATTAAATGAAGACGTCCTCAAGACATCTAAGAATTAACATCCTCGGGGGATCTTCATATATCCTGAGGCATTGCTAGACGAACAGAACATTTTTAGGATGTTGATTTACGAAGTTTTCAAGATATCTAAGACTCAGCATCCTCAGAATACCTACTGTTTACGGAAAAAATTAGAACTTAAACAGGATATTCTGAGGAGGTTTTGTATTGTGGGGGTATGGTCTGAGAGAGAGAGAGAAAGAGACTGACTGCTTTAAAACAAAGAAAGCTATTAGCACAGGGAGCAATGAATTCGTACAAGGATTTCTTAAAACCTGCTCATGCAACACAGGCCTTTTGTACGAGGATTCGTACGAGGCTCATACTTATCCATGTAGCCAAAAGGATAATTTATTCTTGGTAAACTCATCGGGTCCGGGCACTTAAATTAAATGTTGAAAGGAGCCAAATCGTACTTCCAACTAACTAAAACTTAGTGTCGAAATAATATTACCATCCAAGTTGAGCATCTTCAGATTGTTCCAGACTGGTGCAAAAGTATTCTTGTCTATGCTGAGAATGCGGTTTGAAGCCAGGACGACGGACTGCAGTTTCGGCATTTCGGTGAACATATCCCGTGGTATTGTTTCCAGTTTATTATAGCTGAAAGATCATGAAAACAAGATTAAGTTAAATGATACACGTTAAATAGTTTGTATAAATGTCTTCTTATTTACAAACGGAATTAGAAACACATTTTGGAAAACTTATGTGTTAAAGGAGAAAAAGCCAAAATTCACCAATAAAGAGTGACTAATTGCAAACTTCCGCACCATAGCACAAATTTATCGCTATTACAACCGTTTGAGATCACTAAGTTTTAAGAACGCTTATAAGCGGCAATTTTAAGATGAATTTTCTTTTTCTTTTCTTTCTTTCTTTTTTTAAGCTTTGATCATGGGTCTATCAAACAATATCTACGGGTATGGGCCTCTTGAAAACGGTGGAACAAATTTTAGGTGAGGGTAAAAAAACCTTTCGAAGCTATTTTAGACGGGATTGCCAAACATGTTCCTATGGAAAATAAAGGAAAACTATCTGTATCAAATTCTGCCAAAGTTAGCCACACATAAGTATCTACATTTACATTCATTAGGTACGTCACTGAAATAACACGTCTGTCCTTATCTGCCTGAATCAGCTCATGCGGCACCCAGCGATAAGCTGGGCCCACCAGTGGCCGAGCGGTAACGTCGCTGAACACTGGTAGTTCGGTCCGAGGCTCGAATCCCGCGAACGGGCTGGCTGCATGGGTGTTTTCGTGGTTTTCCACATGTTTAAGATGTATAAGCCAGTTTCCCTTAAAAGTCCTCCACGAAAGCATCCCTCCCTTAAGGCAGATAATTCTCGAATGCTTTGCCCTAATCTAATAAACCAAACCAAACCTTAGCAAGCTCTCGAGTGGTTGCATACTGATCTTCTTCCACAAGTTCTCGTAGGCGGGCTGCATCAACATCAGTAGGGCGGCCAGAGCACTCTGCTTCTTGAATGTCATAGTCTTTGTTTTTGAACTTTCGGTACTAAACCTACAGTGTCATATGATACAACATTAGTAACTAAAGCTGTATACATGATTTGGGGACATTCTGTAGACGATTTTTTACAACAGAACTGGAAGTTAATGATGGTTCTAACCTGATAGCGTGATAGTTCCATTTCAGACACCTTGTAATTAATGATAACGATATTTCTTTACAGATTTTACAATATAGTTTTCTAAAGTAATTCTGTTTCTTTCAAACGCCAAAAGTCGGTCGACAAAATATGATTAAACACGCCTACACGAACTGTTTGCGCAATCGATATTTGCGGTGGCTGGAAACTTTCATTAGAACCAGATACAATTTGAAAGTTAGCGTTATAGCACACACATTTTAAACAATGGTCTCATATCTTAAAATTAGAATATAGGAATATTAATTTCAAAATTTTTGACTTGCGCTATTGATTAGTAATAAGTAAATGGTAAATAGAGGTTATAAAGGTAGTAAAGGTAAATAAAGGTAATAAAGGCTAAAGGTAAATAAAGGTAATAAAGGTTAAAGGTAAATAAAGGTATGCTAATACTATATTATCCCATCGACAGTTAAACTATCACTAAACAGTCCAATGTAGCGTCTGTTATGGATAAGTGACGTATCAACCCACTTACAACATCTTCACTTTGATTGGTTTATTTGATGAAGCATTCATTCTAGAGCTGCCGACCGAAGGGAAGGGATCCCTTCGGGGAGGACCTTCCTAAAAAAGTCTTCCTCTTATCGGTACTACGAGGGTAAGTTGAAAAATAAATTTCCCCTGTCGACTGTGGTCAGAGTTGTGTATGAAAGTCAAAAAAATAGAATGAGGCATTAAAGATATGACATACCTTTATTTTATTATTCTCGTACGAGTACGTTGAGACATTTTTCATATCGCTTGATAAGCTTCAAAAAGTCCTCCAAGAAAAATTCACGCTTTGCATATGGAAGAAGGCAGCATCTATGGAGTGGAAACATCCCTTATCACCTGTCCGAAAGAAGTTCAAGACAACTCCCTCTGCAGGTAAAGTGCTCCTCACAGTTTTCTGGGACGCCCAAGGAGTTTTGTTGCTGGAAGTTTTGGAGGTTGGAACCATCAATGCTACGCGCTACGCGCTACTGTGACACACCCTGTCGAAATTGAAAGATGCGATTCGGAAAAAAGCGGCCTGGCCTTCTCACATATCTGGCGTTCTGCTGTTGGATGACAATGCCAGACCACATTCGGCGACGGCAACGCAAAACCATATTGCAACTCTTGGTTGGGAGCGCCTACACTATCCGCCATACAGTCCTGATCTCGCACCAAGTGACTTCCATCTGTTTCCGGCTTTGAAGAAAAATCTCGGGGTAAGGCGCTTTGGAAGCAATACTGAAGTGAAACAAGCCAGCCGTTCAACGCTTCGTCCATATGCAAAGCCCTGATTTTTTCCTGGCGGATTTTTTGAAGCTTATCAAGCGATATGACAAATGTCTCAATGTACTTGGTACCTATGTGGAAAAATAAAGGTATGTCATATCTTTAATGTCTCACTCTATTTTTTGACTTTCATACACAACTCTGACCACAGTCGACAGGGGAAACTTATTTTTCAACTTACCCTCGTACATATGGGGAAAATCATGCAAGTATCCATACAACTAGCCCATTTGCCTGGGATCGAACCCAGGTTGAACTACCACTATTCAGTAATTTTAAGATCGACCTTGGTGTGCTCGCTTTCGTTTGATGTAAACGCAACTGATTCTTGACAAGCTAGCCCTTGTATTTATGAAACAAGGATATAAATCAGCTGTAATTGCTTCATTTTTTTCTTTCTTTTTGGAAACGTGATTACAATTTGGGAGCTACTGTCTACAGCTAGCACGGAAATGAAGGTTCGGGCATGCTATAATAAAAAATTGCTGATTAATGAGCACGATATGGTAAGCTGAATGGTTTTATAAACAGAGCTTTCAGTAAAATCGGAGGGTCAAATAAAATAGTAGAAATCGAGAAAAGCCTGTTTTATGAAATGAAAAAAAGTCGGATAGAGTACTGAACGTTTTTAAAATAAAAAAGTTCCGGTTACTTCAGAATTCCGAAGGCCGATTGGTGCAACTTTGGTGAGATTCCGCCCACTTTGACGGTTCGATCTTTGCCAACTTTTAGGATTGACGGTATAATACGTAAGTACGTAATTACGTTTCGGTAATTAAACCCAAGTATAATGTACTCTCGATTATCCGGGTGCCAGTGGCGTAGCTAGGGTGGGGAAAAGGGGGACATCAGGTCCCCGGGCGCAGCATCCAGGGGGCGCCAAATTGATGGTACGAAATTTTAGAATGAAGTGTTTTCCATTCGTGGCACACAGAGAGGGGCGCAAAATCTTCAGTTGTCCCCGAGCGCTGAAAACCCTAGCTACGCCGAGCAAGGAGAAAGATTCTTTCTAATATAGAAATCAGAGATTTATTTAATTATGAAAAGGTCGAGGCAATAACTGAAAGCGAAAAAATTGAAAATGCAAAAGTCTTCGAAAATGTAGATTGGGAAAATTTCGAGAAATGAATAAATCAATGGCAATTCGACACAGCCAGGCTTTCAACGCTCGAGGTGACGCGAATATCGTTTCAAATGTCACAAAAACAGAGAAGCAGAGCGTCATACTGAAAATATAAGCGAAGAAGATACTGAAAACTATATTAATCCCTAGGCCGCAATGACTTCTATTGGACTTAATCGAACAAATGGGATTCGAATACGATGCTAAAGTATCACTTCGAAAAATACGCAGTGAAATCTGACAATTGTTTATACGCTGCCAAAAACAACATAAAATATCGATTTTTTCACAAATCAACACATATAATATACATAAAAATCAATAGTTTGGATTATACGTGATTTTCTGTTATCCATAGCCTACTTCCCGACATTAGCCCGGACAATGGAGAGTACACTGTAGTAATAACATCGAAAAGATATACATACCTGAAAATCATTTGCAGAAGTTCATTCGCTGGAGTGGGAAACATACTTCTTCTCAACTGGGTTATCTCATTCTGCTTCATGGACAATACCTTCAATTTCTTGAAAGAAATAAAGGCATACGGGTGAACAAAAGAAATAGCGTTATTCTGAAGGGTTAGCTTTTCCAAATTTAGGTGCGCAATCTGATTCATGTCGGTATCAACCGTGAGGGGTCCAGACTTAATGACGTAAATCTCCTTCAACATAGACAATTTCCTCAGCTGAGACCATTCCCAGCCATTGTAAACAAGGGTCTCCTGGATGTTCAAGACCTGCAGCGTCTTCTCTAGACCTACGAAAGCCGTGTCGGTATCACTGAAAGACATGAAGCTTGAGTCAAAAATATTAAGTTTGTAAATTTCCAAACCCTGAAACACCTTGCTTGGCAAATAGTTCATCGCCGAGCTAATGATTTCGAAAGCCCTGATCGGAGTGTTACGAAGGAAAAAAGATGCAACTTGTAGATCGTTTTCATTTTCAACGTGGTTGCAGGTTATGGTGGAGGTATGGTAACCAATAGGTGTGCAGACGCACGGATCGATGTTTTCATCTGGGCATACTGTTTCGCTCCCCGCTACGAAGGAAGCACAAAATAAGCAAATAAGTGTCAGAAGATACATTTTACCTGCATCTAATAAAAGCTTCGACTTGTAAAGAGACCAGACTGGTAATGTGTGATAGCTTTCATTCGCCAGTCGTGGGAATACAACAGATGGATTTCAGTTGAGTGATAAAGTCTCCTACCTTTATCTGCCTGGTGTTATCCAATAAAGATTCCGAAAGCTTTCTGCTAGTGAGATATTGTCTTTAAAAATTGACAAAGCAAGCAAAAAAATGGATTAAAATGTAATTTAAATTTTGATATCATAGTCTGTGCTCTTTGGAAATAAGAAATTATAATTTTTTATTTTATTATTTTATTTCTGAAAAAGTTTAACAGTTTTTGACTTTTTTCAATAGTAGCCGCTTGCGTTGCCTAAAATAATAAGCATAAAATGGAAAGAATCATATAATGATTTTAATGAGTCCAGTTAGTATCATTTCATAAAACTATTTAATATTTCTAATTAAACATCTTCTTATTTAAATGCATTTTTATTGAAATCAGTGAGATTTGAAAGTTCAAAAATATTCTTAAGAACTGCGTTTATTACTTTTAAATCCCTTAGTTTGCTAATAAATAACAGACAGATTAAATTTGAACGTTAATATTATACACTGAATGGCAACACGCTGGCACGTGGAAAGTAAGGGTATTTTATTTCAGGCGGTGGCAACATATCGCTTTTAAATAGTTGACTTTGTGGATTAATATTAAAAGAAAAATACTTTTTTTTTTTTTTTTTTTTTTTTTTTTTTTTTTTTTTTTTTTTTTTTTTTCCAAATGACAGCAATCTGGAGCGCCGGAGATGAACTTGTTTTATTTTGAATAGTCTTGCCACTACTCCCTTTCAAACCGCTGTGTTTATTGATAAAAAATCTGATGTGTACACCACATGACTTCCTTGTACGGAATATTAAATTATATGCATTTTTTCTTGCATTTCATTTAAACTTATTGGATTGAATTAAATCTACTTCGCCGACAGCGCATAAACCACAATAGAATAACTGCATTCTTTAAAATTCACTCTAGTATTTGTTTACCATAGCGACACTCTGGCGCTAGATTCACTTAACAGTATTATATTTCGTTCATATTATAACTCATAATGCACAAAATTTATATCATTTAAAGAATAGAATTATCTAATCGTTGCCACATGTTCTATTCAAATACTATAATAAAGCTAGAATGATGTATAAAAGAAATTAAGCAAACAAAACAAAAAAAGAAACAGTTTTTCACAGACGATTGAGTATTTCTCATTCAATTAAATCAGTTTTCACTTCGCGAGAAGGCAAAAATACATAAAAACTCAAAATATCTATACTAAAAATTACGAAGTAAATCTTAAACACTTATTTCCTCGAAAAAATTCCAGAAAGGGTTAAGCATGATTTAATTGCCAATAATAAATGAAGGCGTTATCTTTGTTGTTGCGAAGCTAAGTTTCTCTAGATTGGCAACAAATCCACTAGTCTGCTGTTTCAAATGTAACCAATCAATGGCCGCCATAAAAAAAAAATAATAAAAAAAGGGCTTTGCGGCACTTAAACAACTTTAAAATTGTTGATAATTTTAAAAATATTGCATACAGATTACAAACATATACGAGTAAAGAAACTGAGATCACTGAGCCGGGTAACAGAGTGGATATATATATAAATATATTTACATACGTTTGGTGCGGCCGATTGCAAACAAAATACGAGGTGCACATCTACATGTTATAGCAGTCCTATATACAAAATTTCAACGTTCTGAGGCTACTCGTTTTTGAGTTATGCGAGATACGTACGTACGTACATACGTTCGTAGAGACGCCACGAAAAATTCTCTTCAGAATTAATTTTAAGCAGTTTTATAATTTTTTGGAGGAAACAAGTCTTTTATTCTGTCCTTATGTACAGATATCACGCAAAAACATCATTAAATTGCATTCGATAGCGGTCAAAATGGATATTTTCGTTGAAATATGCTGCCTGAAACTTTTCGCGATTACAGTACTTCCTTTTTACTTCGTACAAGGAAGTAAAAATTCCTTCAGTTCATGAAAAATATGAAATAAATCAAAAACCAATTCGAAATTGGAAATTCTGGCTTCGAGATGCACATGTTAGGGGAAGGTACATGTATTCAAAATCGGGTGGCTGTAGGTGCCGCCATTTTCCCACAATGCAAGGAACATTCAAACATAATTCAAACTAATTCTTTATTACTTTAAAAGTACAAATTATGAGTACAGACAACATGCTATTCCACAGGGGTTTGAGAACGAAACTATCGAGTGAAATTACTTATGCCCTAGCCGACAACTCAAATCTTGACCTTCGGATAACCAGCCAAACGTGCTTCTACTTACACCAGGAAGACGCGTCGCGGGACAGGAGAAAATTGAGTGCTTAAATATAAACGCAGCCACTTGGCGAAATCTGGCAATTTTTTGCAGATGGAAAAGTAAAAGTTACTTTTTCGATGAAAATTGGTAGTTTTCGCTACTTTTTCTGAAAATATTCTCAAATTTTCAGTATTATTGTTCGTTAAATATCATAAACATGTGAAAAACTAATATACTTTAGTAATCTAAAATACACATTTTAATCGTTAAATAACGATTATGTGATCCATTAAAAATAAAGTAGTCACATTCTTCTTAAAATCCTTCTGTAATTTTTTGACGCTATTCTTTTCTTGAGTACACAGCGATATGTTTTCTCTTAGAAAACATCAGAGAATTGCAGAGACTCGGCATCACGCAAACCTCGGCACCACCGGCTATCTACTGAAGACATCGCCTATTTTTCCCTTTAGAGACTGAGGCAAAATTCTGTATTCCTGGAGAAATTTTACTGCAGTTTCGCCCATTGCTATCAAATTCCTTAAGCGTACATTTTAAGATTAAATTTAAGGCACAATACATCACGATTTGTCTCTAACAAGCCTTGGAAGCGGGAATACAGCATAAAGAATTCACATGAAAATGGCGCCGTTGCTTCATTGAAGAATTGCTATGAACATGGTTATCTGAAGAATGGTTATGAATATGATGGCATTTCTTAGAAAGCTCTCCATGAATACAACCCTCCTTTTAGACAGATAGCCCTAAGAGAAAGGATGGTAATAATTTTGATAATAATAAATAACAATTATCAAAATAACTGCAAAACAGCGTAATTCAGTAAAATTTCAGCCATTTAAAACTAAGCATTTATTCCACTAACACACAAAAAGAATATACATTAGACTTTCAGAAACGAAATTCTCTGCATAAGAAGCTTGTTGACATAGTATTCATCCAACGGTAATCTTTCCGATAAAAGTTCGAAAAGATTAAAAAAATTTCTCTTTCATACCCTTCCATAGGTCGAAGAGAAAGTTAATGAATAATAAAGCTATATTAATTGCAACAACAAAGTTCCTTGGTTCGAGAAATGCCATCTCAAGTCTTGGATGTAGTCATTCAAATGATATTAGGTTTATAAACTTTGAGCGTACATTTTCTTCTATAAATTTCATTTTTCTTTCCCAGTCGTCTGTATAATAAACTTCAGTTCATTTCTAGTTAGAAGCAAACGCAGTAGGGTGTTTGCCTGTTAAATCAGTACCAGACGTTGCTATATCTTGCAGAAATCCTGAAACAGAAAAAGTAAATTGCAAATATAATTCAGGCACCCGAAAAAACATTTAAATAAGATAACTCAGTTTATTAAAACTGCAATAACTTAATAATTAAGGAAGGAATTTGTTGATTGTACAAGTATTGGCTGAACTTTCAAACCTGTTAAACAACTAAATAAGGTTAAACTTAAACCGTTTTTCTATTAGGTTTCTAGAGACTTTGACCCGACTTTTAAGTGTCTAGTCATCCTGATAAATACTATCTAGTACTAGCTAGACCCCTCCAAGAGAAGAGTTAGCAGACCGGATGTCATTTACTTCATTTCAAAATACCAGTTAAGTTAGATTGAAAGTAATGCATCTAACAACACAGAGAATGATACTGCTGTAATATTTCTGTAATAACGATGCAAAAAATACGATTCATAGTCATACATTTTTCACTCTGATGCGATACGGAACCCACATGAAAAATTCCGATAGAAAAATAAGCTGATTCTATCTCTTTATATCAGCAACAATGGCATGCAGTTTTTAATGATTTTCGTCTTTCTAATCAAATGGTCGTAAAAGTTCAAGTTCCATCCAATATTTCACCTATATTTAGTTTTAGTGGATTAAATGTGGCAAAAGAATTAATCATAATTGATCAGAAATCAATAACGCAAGCAAACAAACAAACAGAGATTCTTCTTTATATGTGTAGATTTTGTAAAACTTATAAATTTTTTATTAACAAACTCTACGATTTGAAAGCGAGCAATAGCAACACTTTTCGAAGTAAAACATGTTTTATCTCCAACGCGCGACACTTTTGCCACTCAGAAAAGTGAGTGGAAAATTAGCTCTTTCAGAGTTTTTAATTAATATTTCGGCTGATTAAAGTCGTACGAAGATAGGGATAGTCGAAATGGCTTCCCACGAATTTTTGGAATCCGGACTAATGTCTTTAATGTTTGGTGATGCTATTTTTATTTCATGGTAAAACTTAGAAATTTACTAAAACTTAGAAACAAACTCTAGGACTTGAAAGCTAGCAGTGGCAACAACGTTCGAAATAAAGCAGATTCCTCTCCAGCTTGCGAGACTGTTGCCACTTAGAAAAATGAGGGCAAAAATAATCGCTTTTCCGAGTTTTAAATTAATATCTGTCTAATTTTAGTTTTTTTTTTTTTTTTTTTTTTTTTTTTTTTTTTTTTTTTTTTTTTTTTTTTTTTTTTTTTTTTTTTTTAAGTGGGCGTAAACGTAACAGGACCCAGAAAAGAATTGTAGAAAGTTTGGCGACGATAGCTATAGTAGTGACTGAGTTATTAGAGGACCAACAAACAGACATTCTTCTTTATATATATATAGCTTATAATCATTGCACTTAAATCCAGAATAATCATGATACAAAAGTCCATGATATCCGTAAGTCGATGATAATAATCATACCTAAATCATAGTTATGAGTCCTGCAAATAAAGTCATACATCCTAGAGATCTTTCTAATGGTTGTCCGTTACAATGGCATTTCCTTCTATTAGCCGAGGCATATTGTATAATATAAAAGTTAATTATTTAATTTAGTTTCCTTTTAATTTGTCACTTCGAATAAGTTTGTCCGTCCATTGTGGCCAATTTTGTTCTGTCGAAATGCGAAGATGATTATTGGCTGTTAAATTACAGTTGAATACATAATGATCAGGGTTGCGGACAACACCGCACTGACGAATTTCCTAGTTCAGATTTTTCCAGATATATTGGAAATGGCTTATGAACTGTATTGCAAAGCTATTAAAAAGCTTTAAGTTCCCTTTCGGGGAAAACCCATAAGTTAGTTTAGGTTTAGTTATGATTTTTAAGGACTATGAGGTGTTCGGCGAGGACATGAAAACTCAGCTGCACCTTCGCACTGGTTCGAACCAGGAAACTTCTATAAGTTCTCTGTTAACTTCAGAATAAGTTCACGAATTTTATTATGGGAAGGACTGCATTTATCATTGACATGGACCTTGGGCACATCTCAGTAGGAATTATAGAGACATTAAGTTGTTTTGGAGCAGGAGACGTGAAAAGTGTGTACTGCCCTCGCCGGGACTTGAACTCAGACCTCTCGACTCAGACCGCCGAATGTGTTATCACGAAGGCATGCAGAAAAGAGGGAGAAAATACCTTAGATACTCTCCTTTTTAAAGGACGACTGGGGATTAGCTGGTGGTGAAGAATCACCATCCACCACCTTTATAGTTCGGGCACCACTGTAAAGTCATTAGGTTATTTTGAAGCAAGAGACGTGAAAAATGTTCACTGTCCACCCCGGGTCGCGAACCTGGACCTGTCGAACACGCGCCGAATGTGCTACCGGGTACACCAGAAAGGCAAGCAGAAAGGAGGGAGAAAATACCTTATAGACTTTAAAGTTTTTCCGTAATTTTTTTCATAATTCCAGTAAACCTATCAAGTAGTAACTGATAACATTTATTCCTGTGACATTTGAGCTTGATTTTCTTAAAATATCATCTAATTACTAACAGAATTTTCTATCCAGTTCATCGTTTGCTTTCTGCACATCTGCTATTTTGCTACTACAGATCAAACTTGGTACATTGCATATGTTCTTGAAACAAAACGAATATCCTTTACGCTTGGCTTGGAAAAAATACACCATGGCCACATAAACTTCGGTTGCAGAAATTTCTCCTAAAGATCATGCTGGCCAGTTTTTATTTTCTTTGATTGGATAGGAATAATTCAAGAAAAACTTGCTTCGAAAGGACAGACTTTGTAAACTCCACAAAGAAATAATAAACAGACTTCTGAAGTCTGAAAAAATTCAATCCAATAGCTTGTTTCTTCTGAAAAACATTGTTCCATACAGTTCCGTTTTGTCCAGTAGTTTCGAGCAAAATGTAGCCCCTCTTCCCATTTACCAATTTCCTCTAAAATGAAGTCAAATGGCATTAGTTGAACAGCATTAAAGAGATTCAGGAAAATATAACCAGATACTTAAACATTATTACAAAGTATAAGTTTTATGAAAGAATCAAGCTATTCTCTGGACGCATAAAATATTGTGTAAAAATCAACAGAGACTGGAAACTAAGATGAAAGAATGTTGTTTTCTTAAGTTTTTGATTTTGTGCTAACTCAGTCCTAAATCTTTGTAGACGCACTGCGTCTTTAATATTAACTCTTTCGAAACAAGTTTTCCTTTCAGGTTTGAAACTGGCACTGTTTTTATGTTGCATCCAATAGTTTTTAATTTCCTCCAATTACATTTGCTTTTGCTGAAATTTACTTACACATAGCAATAAATGACTACCGTTTTAGTAGGAACCAAAGATAAAACTACAAACTTTTAACATTTTTATTTCAATTTTTAAAAGTCATTGTAGAAGTACAGAAAATGTATAACTAAAAGGTTAGGAAATTTTTCACGGTATAAAAAGAATTATTACAAATGATTCATCCGCTATAAATTCCGAGTTATAGATAACACATGTTCTTGATATTAATGTAAAGAAAGAAATTACTTGAAATTTTCAAGTTCACGTGTGTGAATTTATTACTGGATATTACTGTGGAATAGAAACGAAATTCACCAAAGCATTTGCACATCATTCACAGAAAAATGTTTATGAGCCTTTTTATTTCTTTGAGGGAAAATATTCTGTGATTGGTTAGTAATATCTTGATATGCTATCGTTATGATTACTTCCTCAAATGAGAGATTATTTAGTAAACATCATATTCCAGTAAGAATGGGTTCCTCTTCATTAACAGAATCAAGCATATTGCTGCTTAAATAATGAATTTCCTTGTGGTAGGATTCATCGACTGGGCGAAAACGACTTGACTTTTTCAGATGATGAGAATAGTGTAACGATATGGACACCTTTGACAAACATTTGCTTAATGAAAAGAACTTCCTGTTTTGTCCAGAGACTAATGGTCAGTTAAAACTTTGAGGAAAGGTGTTGCAGAAATCCCCTGGTGCGGTTTCTTGACACAAGGGACGTAGTAATTGACCCCATTCCAAGGCATTTCCGACGAGACGTTTAACAAAACGAAAGAGAGGGGGCTTTTGTGTGAGTTTTTATGCAGTGAAAGACTTGAGAGAAGACGCAACCCGCGTCGTTGCCGCATTCAGCGGCCATTGTTTTGTATTATGGCTGTAAAGTTTTGATTAGTTTACTTGGTAGTATTCAAGAAATTCTAGTTTTAAAATAAATATTTAAAAGACATCTGCTCTCTTCCTTTCACCCAACACGGGTGTTCAGACGTTATAATAGTCTCTCAATTTAAATCCAGTGACCTTTTCATTTTGAGCATCACTCTGATTAGAGAACACCTCAGAAATATTGACGAAATGTTCTTTGATATAAGGCAATTAACAATTGTACTATATATTACTCATTTATAGTCAATTATATAGTACTGGAAGATGATGCGTTTATTAATCCATTTGCTACGCATCTGTCAGGCGATCATTTTGTTTCTTAATTGGTAGTTTATTCTGCATATCTATAAATTTCTAGTTTTTTCCGCATTTTGATTCATAATTTGTAATCATTAATAAACTTTTCATTAGTTCAGAGGTTTTGCTTCACATTTTTGCCTACCTTTGAGCTATCTGTATTATATTTTTAGCGTTTGAGAATTTAGAACTCTGTATGGGAGGGTATATTTTGAATTTTTCATGAGCGTACACCTATTGTACGTAGCCTTAACTTCACTTCTTGGTTCTTCCTATCGCTAGGCGGTAGTTTACATTACCGTCATCCTTTTGTTTCATTATTTTAATCTTCCGTATTTGAAATATTACCAACTGCATCGCGACAAAGGTCTCTGCTTGATTTCATCTCCTAGTCTTTGGAACATTAATTTCATTGAATCAGAGCCTCTTTAGGCAAATCTTCATTAAGCAAATGACGGTCCCAGTCAGACCATAGACTTCTTCACGTACACTACTGTATTTGCATATTTTTATTCTTTTGAGCATTGTTAAAAGCAATGTTTATGTGTCTCCGTCAGCAACACCGTTAGAAGTGCTCCCAAACCATACTGCAGCTGCTTTGGTGATCACCCACCGAAAAATATTACCATGGGTGTAGGCAGAATAGCAATGCACTTTGGACTCATGCCGTGCGATAAAAGAAGCCTACATCGAACATTTAGAGTGCTATGACTAAAATTTGAAATTTGTTTTGCCTAATGTTCACTTAATGCTCATTTTTTTGCTTGCAATATTCAATGAAATGTAGTGATTTCAAATTATATGAATCACTTGAAATAATAATGTCCTAGAATGTTCTAAAAATAGGTATTTTGAACAATTCAAAAATAAATGTTTCTAAACTGAAGTGAACAAAATGATTTCAAAATAAAATAAATACATATTTACCAACAATTCCATGCCTCGAGTTTCCCATGGTAATAAGACTGCTGCTACAGCACAGGAGAAAGGAAGACACCCTAAGAGGCTGTATATGTAATACGTGCCTAGCTGGCTAAGAACCTGCGGAGAAAAAGAACTACCTGAATTAGAAGGCTATGAATTCTACACTATCGCAAATCTTTCGAATCCTTGGAACATAAACCATGATGAGAAGTGAAAGGAAACGTTTACTTATTGTTAAATGTATTCAATTAAAGCACAGTTTAAAATCTACATTTTAAAAAAAAATGAAACTTAATTATACAGTTTTCAAAAATACATCTCTCTCTTTTATCTCTCGATTATCCGGCAAGTGCTCTCGAGTGCTCTCGATTATCCGGCAAGTGCTGGTTAAGCAGGTAACGGATGGGTGGTGTAAAGTATCAACTTTCATGCATGTTATACACATGGGTGGTGTAAAGTATCAACTTTCATGCATGTTATATGTGTTTATTGCTTAAAAAATCATTAGTTTTACTTGTTTTGAAGAACTTCTAAATATCTGCCGAATTTCACTGCATACTTCTCTAAGTGCTATTTTGCCGTTGTATACGAATTTCGTCGACAAAGTTTCGAAAGAAGTCACTGCTGTCTCAAGACTAATGTAATTGTCGGCATAGTTTTCGGTTGTATTTTCAAGATTGGTCTCTGCCTCTTATGTTCCTGTGATATTTGAAATCGCATCTGATTCATTCTAGCACTGAAAGTTCGGCTCGGTCAAATCACCATTGAATCACACCTCAATGCTTTCTTGGTCGACATTTTCGAAGAATTTTACATTTTCAATCTTTTTTGCATTCAGTTTCAGTTATTGCCTCAACTTCTTCACTACGAATAAATCTCTGATTTCCATATCAGAAAGATTTTTTCTCCATGCTGAGATTCTCGTGTGTTTGTTTTTCACACACCTTCGAGCATGGTGTTTACTGTGTGTGTATATGATCCCCGCTACGCACGCATATACCCCAAACCGGATAATCCACACCAGAATAATCAAGAGTACACTGTATATTTATTAGGAAGATACAGATAACATTTAATATAAGAAAAGTATAATTAAAACTCCTTGCTCTTTAGATTTATTTTCTCAACATAATTTTAAGAAAAAAAAATTGAACATTTCAATTTCTTTACATTTTACCCAAATCTTAAAAATTGGAGTGTGTTTGGATTTATTTCAAGAATTAGCAGAAGTAAACACAAAACTTCGAATAATAACTCGTATTCTTCAGAAGATTAAGTAATTTTTTTTAATTCGTAAAAGCAAACACAAACATCTTTATGACGCGGTGATATTATGATCGAAGTGCCACTGAAAGTGCAACAATCACGTTCTTACTTATGTAAGAACGGGAAGTCCTACAACCATCAGAGGGCATCATTTGACAGGAAAACCTCATCGTCTGCGCACATTCAGACAGAGCGAGGCACAGACGAGGGGATGTTAGACCACGCGAAGGTGGAGACAATGGACTTTGATTGAGAGCGTGAGTAGGCGCTGAGTGACTGTTTAAACATAAAAAGTGATGCAAAATTGTGCTTGTGTCCAACTAGCGCGAGAAGGCGCTAAGGCCTTCTCAATTTAATCTGTAGCTTTGCAAGCAGTTATTAAATGTTTCTGTGGTGTGGAAAAGGATTCTTCATTATTTACTGAGTGACATCATCTTCAACTTTCTCCTATATTTATATTTTATTAAACGTATCTATTAGAAGTCAGTAAAACTAAATCTTCCCAAAATTTTGCGTTAAACGTGTAAGGGTTTTTTTTAGATTGGAGTTCGAAATTATTTCAGGGATTCTAATTTTTTAAGTATCGAATCTTTTTCGAGACGTTTGTAATTCGAGAATTCGAATGTTCTATCACTATGTAAAAACAGTAGCATTTTTTAATAAGTGCCTATAAAAGTGCACTTTTTCGTTCATTTAGTTGCTCTTTCAGAACATTCCCTAACTACAAATCAGAATAAATATCCTTAGTAATATTATCTTTAACCATAATAGTATTATACCCTTTATTATTTATAGCAAATAATTAGTATAGCAAGTTTATAAAAATTAAGCTAAAAACTCTTGTTTCACAAAAGATCTTAAACAATTTAGTTAATTTTAGTAAAACGTGTAACTTTTGCCACCAATAACACAGGGCTTTGCAACTCGCTTAGTCTGCAGGCAGCCGAAATTTAAATCTTGAAAATTCACTGCTGGCTATTGAAATTGCTACACCAGAAAGGAAACCAAATAAACAAAATCTTATTTATTGTACATATGCAATATAATTAGAGAAAGACATGATTAAATTTTTGGGTGGTTTGTGGTACAGGAGTAAAGATTTCAGTGCAGAGAAATGCCATTCTGACAGTAACAACGGCTGTAATATGGCTGGACATCGAATCAAACTCTGCTTGAATGACAGATACAGGTACTTCTTTCCATGCAGCTTCAACTCTAATCCAGAATTGAGCAATCGTAGGGACTGATGAGTGGTGGCGTGCCAATCTCTCAAGAGCCAGATGTTTTCAGTGGTTGAGAGATCTGGAGACCTTGCTGGCGAAGGTAACAGTCGAACTCCCTGTGTATCGAGGATGGTCAGTGCGTCAGTATAGAGCACTAGCTCTTAACATGGAGAGACGCCTAAACTTCCAAAGGCGATTTACGGAGACGCAAGTTCCCAGTGGTCAAACTGGGCGACAATGAACAAGGGCGTGTTTATGAACGCAAGATAGGGCTACCAGGCACCAGCTGGTCACCGAAAAACAAAGACAACGTTAAACAAAGTCAGTCCTCTTGAGATGAGCAACAGAGGCGAACCGATCAAATACGTAACGATCACACAACTCGAGACAGACTTCACAGTACCGTTACGGTTCCTGCCGCGTCTGAACGGACCACCGAAGAATCAGTGGCTATAGTCCTTTTAAGATACACTACCCGACGTTGAACTTGCAACACCAACATGTGGCCCGAAAATTATACAAATTTCAGGGTAGAGGCACGTCACCGAGTTATGCGAATGATGTGAAATGCGCAGCTTTCCAGCGCACGTTGAAGAAGATATAAGGGAAGGAACCTGCGGAATGTTAAACTCTCGTGCCGTTATTTCTGCTAGGAAAATCATCGTAGAAAATTTGTTCTTGTATCAGAAGACACGTGTGAGAATGCCAGGCCGTCGTCAACGAAGGCAGTTCCAGCAGACAGAGGATTTTACGAGGGACATGGTGATCTGGATACTGAGGGACAGGGCAGTTTTGTCCATACGGCAAATCTCAACTGGCACATACCGACACGCTTCCGTAGTGCACCAGCTGTAGCGATGATGTTTGGAACAAGAAAAATGTGGCAAGTTCGAGGGGTGTCGGTGCAGCCAGAGCGATGTGAGTGATGTCTGCACGCATGAAAGGACGCATCCGCCGACAAGCGGTGGTGCACACGCAAGCCATTTCTACTTCCATGCTGCAGCATGCTGCAACCTGGATTTTCCCATATCGATCGGAGCCATTTTCCATCGATTGGTGGCTAGTTGCCTGCACTCGTGGCGTCCATTATGAAGGCTGCCATTGATCACACACCATAGACGCCAACGTCTGCAATGGTGTCGAGCTCGAGCGATGTGGATAGCGAAATGAAACAGAACAGTGTCCTCAACTGAGTCACGCTTCATTTTCTCCAATTGTAGTCGCCGCGTACGAATGTGGCGGCAATGTGGAGACAGGTCCAAACCAGCAATTATGGAGCACCCTACCGCGCGACAACGCGGCATGATGGTTTGGGGCGAAATTGCGTACAATTCGAGGTCACCTCTAGTTCGTATTCGGGGCACTATGACGGCCTAACGATACGATGTGCTGTGATCGGTAACACTCTCCTACGTTTAGGGAGTGCCCAATGCCTTTTATCAGCAGGATAACGTCCGACCACACACTGCTCGCATCATCCAACGAACTCTGCAAGGTGCAGATGTTTCTCTGTCCACCATTCTCTCCTGGTCTCTCATCGAACACATTAAAGATATGATTGGACGCCATTTTCACACCCTGCCGTTGCCACTTTCAGAAGACGAACTGTGACAAATCTTTGACAGGGATTGGAGACCCATTTCTCAAGATACCATCCATAAGTCGTATTGACTCTGTACCTAGACGTGTTGCTTCGTGTATCGCCGTCCAAGGTGATCCTACAACCTACTGAACCCATGCTGTTCACACTCTGTATTATGCATATCATTTCGATATAAAGATCACTTATTGCGTTGCTGTCTTCTTCTGTTTGCCGAATTTCATCATTTTCTGGCATTTCATTTTTTCTAAAATAGACGCTTTGGTGTTGCATTTTCAGTTTCAGGCAGTGTATATTATGCATCCCTTTTAAGATAAATTATGTATCCTGTGAAGATAAATTATGTAATTATGAAGTAAAATAGCCAAATAAAAGATAAAGGCGCCAAATAAGTTTAAACATGCATTATAAAAACTGCAGAGTTACAGAAAATATCGCCAAATAAATGTTTTAGTCACTAAATATTTTGGTTTCGATTTCAAACAACCACTTAAAATTATGTACAAAAGAAGCAGCCAAATGGCGTAAATTTTCATAAATTCTATCGATTCTGAAAGGAAGCTGCTCCCACTTCTTCTGAAGGAAACAAAAATGTCTGCACACTTTTTTTTTCTCCTGAAAAAGCAAAATTTCTTAAAACGTTCTACGTCAGGTGCATTTTTTACCTAACTTTAAAATTTTACGTTACCGAGTTCTCTTATTATGACGGATGTCCTCCGAATATAAGATAATAATGTCCAGAAACGTTATGAACTGTTCATAAATGAACTTTTGCATTAAAGATAATATGAACAGTTCATAAACAAACTTTTGCATTTTTATGTTTAAAATGCTGTGAAAATACTTATTTATTTGTTTCTTCACATTTTTATATTAATTAAATTCCATTTCTGGTCTGAAGGCTGCTTTTTTTCTCCACGTTTAAGGTTATCAAATAACCGTGCACAAACGTGATCGAAATTAGCAGTGTCTACTATAACCATATAAACAAGAAAGTATCTTCTTCAAATATGGCTTTTGGATTTTAATAAATACCTGTATAATGTAGAAGCCGGCAAGAAACCCCGCGTTAAAAGTCGCCACTTCCACTCCAATGGCTACTCCACGTTCTGTGGTGGGATAAGTCTGAAATTAAATCATTTATCAATCATATTTTTCCATTTGCAAAAATTGCAATCATATTTTTGTCGTAAAAATCGTTCATTCGTGATTGTGAAAGAAAGTTATTTTTTAAATGAATTTGTTTTATTCTCCCTCCCCCCAAAAAAGCAGGATAAATGTACTTTATTCTCTGACGGTTATGAAAAAATGAATATCCCTTTCCATCCGTCTTTCTGTTATTTTGCGTTTCTTAAAAAAATCTTTTTTATATCCTAAAAATGCATATATTCTAAAATGAACATTAGAATTCAGTTTGTGCGAATTTCAGCTACACAGAACACTAGTTATTCTGACTGCTTCTTTTTCGTCGCCCACATAAATAGTAAGCCTAATGTTAACTTATTTGAGTAGTCTTAACTTTTTCTTTGCTTTTTGCTGAAATGTTAAAGCAGAACCTTAAGCACATGATTTAAGCAAACTTTTTTTTTTCTAAAATAGATACATACAGGAGATGGACAAAAAAACAGCTAATGCTTACCAAAACGTTTGGCAAATATACCACACCCAATCAATTCATAAGCAATGTATAGGATTCTACTGTATCTAGAAGTTTACTAGATTAATAGCGAGTAATCGCTTACTGTGAAACAAATAATAAACTCTAAAGAATGTTAAAATAATCTTTTTATTTTCAAGGCTTAACAGAAAGACATAGTTTGTGAGACAAACGAACGTTTATGATTTCCTGATATTTGAATTAACATTACAGAAGGTCAAATTTCAAATGTAGGTAAGATAATCGGAGATGACACATAAAATAGGCTATTAAGGCTGGCTCAGATATTTAACAGCGCATATTTTAAACCCGGCTATCAAGACGCTAAAGCTGGAGTATAACTTAGGCAGAGCTGGAGATAGTAAGTAATAATAAGTAATAGTAGTACGAAGCTTCCAGAAGCTCTGATCTAAACATTCAAACCCTACAAAACATTCAATACACAAAACAACTAATTTGTATTAACAATTGGGTAATTAACATGAAGTACCTTTTAGATTTTAAGTTCTGTCCACAACAGCAGAGCGTATAATTTGAATTTTAGTGACATTAGAGTTTCAAAAACTGAATATTATAAGATATTAAAGACAGATATGTCAGAATTCAGATGAGGATCACCTGTTCCCGCTTGTTCTTTTTTGCCAACATAGTAAAATTTCTTGATGTATTGAGGACCACAGAGTGCAAGGTTATGTTTGCATCCTTAAAAAAACAAAAAAAATTGTCCAGTAATAGTAACTGCCGAGGTATGAAGAAGTTATTTGGATCATTATCTGAATTATTTGAGTTTTAGAAAGAATTCAGAATCATAAAAAAAGAAAACTGAAATTATGGCAAGAATACAGCTTCTCCCGAACCAACCCATTTCTGCAAACAACTATCCGTAAAGAGTTTCATAAAGTTAACATTTACGGTCAGGCTAGCTGTAGCAAAACCATTGATAAGCAGAGCCTATACTAAATACTGTTCGGTTGTATCAGAATTCAAAACTTGAATAGTACGTAAAGCAAAATGTCTATTGTTCATCATGAATTCTCCTTTACTAACTTCACTATTTCTAGGAGCCTATATGAATGAAAAATTCTTTCAGAAACAATTATGATCAAGAGAATCTTACGTCAAAAATTAAACGCAAAAATGGAATCGTGACTGCTTAATCCAAGGATTCCCAACTTTTTTCTTGCATCGACCACTTTTGAAGGAATCATTTTCTTTATTGACCCCCTTACATTTTTCTCTATACAGCATAATTATAAAACAAATAGTTTGGCATAAATAAATTCAAGATAACAAAAACAATAACTTTATGCTAACAAAAAAGGAAAAAAGAGGGAAACGTCAATAATGTTGCTTGGGGAACAGCTTTTATTTTGGAATATTTCACTCGGATGACTTTTAATTTTAGCGTACTCGAGTGTTTTGACTAAGAATTGTGCTTGAATATCTTCTTTCCTTGCATTTTAATATCAAAATAAGATATATTTAAGATGTGGTTTTTATATTACAATATTTCTTCTGACGAATGAGGAAATACAATGATTACTTTGTACGCTGACAAACACGTTTCGTTGTATTTTAAAAGACCAAATTCGCCCGTTCGCATATCAGAGGAGGTATGCCGTATGTAAACATTGAAAATGCACTATTTCCCACAAAAACAGAGAGTTTAAGGTGTGTGTGTGTGTGATTATGGCAAAGCCTCGAGGGCCATCTGCCTAAGGGGAGGAATGCCTTCGTGGAGGGATTTCTAAGGAAAACTGGCTCGTTAACACGTTACACATGGGGAAAACCACGAAAACGCCCATGTAGCCAGCCCGTTCGCGGGATTCGAACCTCGGACAAAACTACCAGTGTTCAGCGACTTTACCGCTCGGCCGCTAGTGGCCGAGAGTTTAAGGAACATGAAACTAAGTTTTATGTTTTCTATTTCTGGCTAGTGTACCTTAAAGGATATTTGGAAAACTTTCCCCCCCCCTTTCGATTACGCTAAAGGACTAATAGCGATTCCAATTTGAGATTTCACATCATAAAGTGAAACAACTACTCTTTTATTAGAAGATTAGCTGCACATGCCTTTAATGATTGTACAATATTTCTATCTGTCATTTGTAAGAAAAATCGTCGTTATTAATAAATATTACGCTTCAGGTGCAATGTTCCACTTACAATGCCCAAGGCCACTTTCAGTATTTCAATGTGCGTTCTAGTTTTCACGGGCAACCATATAAAAATTTATTATTTTACTGAAACATTTCTTTTTAATGATCCAGTTTCTCTTTATGATGATCTATAATAAGATACTTTAATATAAGCATTTTTATAGAATTGTCTGTAATTATATGAATTAAAAGTTCTTTAACACTATATATTAATTTTAAAATGCGTTGTTGACGATTTTTTTGTGAATCTTACCTCTGCTGCTGCTAACAGTAGTAATTCGAATTGGCTGACTATCAACGTCTTGGCACAAAAGAGGAAACCGACATGCGCAGTCACACTGGGAAAGATAATATTTTGATATTAAAATAAAATTCATAAAGAGAACAGTCGAAATAGATACATTATAGGGTCATAACAACATAAGTGCACAGGTGGATCAATCTTAACCAACTGATAATCAATCCAAAGGTCAGATTATATTCCAGAGTTATACTACAAGGCCCTTTCAGTGATAGTAAATTATCTTGAAAATAAGAATGAAAAATGTAATAAATGAATTGTCAAAAACAGTTTTATAAACTAAATACAAATTTTGGTGAACGTTCGTATATTAGCTGCGCCTAATAACATCGTAACCTCAAATGTATATATAGTAGCCACCGTATAATGCGATCGCTGTGTTATCATTTAAAAAAAATATATTATTATCGAACTGCTGAAATCCCGCCGTTTGTATACGAAAACGCAGAAAGTAGTTTACTTATTAGGATAAAAAATTCGGTTCATATTATCACAGTATTACCGAAAAAATTTTTAAACTGAAGTAAAATTACCAAATAAGAGATAAATTAGTCAAAGAAGGTTAAAACATATAAAAACTGTCAAGAATTAGAAGAATGTTGCTAAGTAACTGATTGTGTCGCCATAGCTTGTTTTCGATATTAATCAACCATTTAAAATTAGGCAAAAAAAGCAACCTTTTTTTTTACCTTAGATTTTGAATAACCTTATCGATTTTGTGTATTAGCAAACACAGATCCTTTTCTTTAGGAGTTCGAATACCCCATCCCGCTGCTCCTAAAAAAGAAAGGAAGAAAAGAAAAGAAAATTCCATGGAAACCTCAGCGCCAAACTTTGATTGCTTTTTTGCCTCATTTTAAATTTTACTTTGGCATGATCTATTCCAGTGATTGAGGGATGCCTTCCGAATATTAAGATTAGGAGTACAGCACTGATCAAATAATTTCCATAAACGTATGAACAGTTCATAAATGAAGTTTATCATTAAATATATAATGAGAATTTCATATACAAATTTTTGCATTTTTCTCATTAAAGTACTTATTTGTATGTTTCTTACTGTATTTATTAGCCCAAAGGGGCAATTAACCAGAAGGGCTATTAATTTCTTTTACGCATCTTGAGTTGATTCACTGTAAGCGTTGAATCAGTTCTTACATTATTGCCACCAAATATTAGAGCTCGGTATTATATGTAAAGAAATTAAATAATGAAGAATATGCATAAATGTAAGTAAGTTTCTCGCACTGAGATAAAACAACGGTACCTAGAGCCATCAAATTTTGAATAACGTACGTTTCCCCCCGAATATGGGCATTCGGGAGTCCAAATTTGGAATTTGTTTATTATCTATTTCATATTCTGTAAAGCATTTATGAGTTTTTGATTAACAAACTCAACGATTTCAAAGCGAGCAGTGGCAACACTGTATGGGGGAAAAAAAAAGGAAAATATGAAAGGTTTCAGATTTTAAATTACGTCCAAAGGCGCGTTTTTTTAACATTTTGTGTGTTACCTTTATTTATTAAATATCACGTTCTTCTCACCTAAAGCATAAAATTCAGTTCTAGAGCAATATCGCAAAATAGTTTTAAATTGAGCATATCTTTAGAATTTCCTATACAGAGTCTCGCGCGCTGGAAATAAAAATGTTTTTTCTTTGCAACGTGTTAAAATTGAAATTCTTGAAAATCGTTTGAAACCTTTGAGTTTGTTCATCAAAAATTCGTTAAAGTTTTACAAAATATGAAATCAATCATAAAACAAATTCCAAATTTTAAATTTTGGCTTCCACATGCCCATATTCGTAGGAGGATTACGTTATTCAAAATTGGATGGCTCTATGTACCATTGTTTTATCACAATGCGAGAAATATGCATACATTTATGCAGATTCTTCAGTATTTAATTTTTTCAAATATAATGCACGACTGTAACATTTGGTGGCAACAGTATGAAAAGTGAAACGGACATTTATAGTGATTCAACGCAAAATCGCAGAATGAAAAAAATTGTTCTTCAGAATCAAAGCCCCTTTGAACTAAAAGAATTATGTTCAGGGCGCGAGACTGTGTTCTAAAGATATTCTCATTTGAAAATTATTTTGCGATATTGCTGTTGAATTGAGTTTTATGGTTTAAGTGCGAAGAACATGATATTTGATAAATAAAGATAGAACAGAAAACGCTTAAAAAACGCCCCCTTGGGCGTAATGTAAAATCTGAATGCTTTCAGATATTTATTTATTTATGAAATTATTTAAATTGCACTGCTGTATTGAAGTCTATTTTTTCACCGTTTAATGTTATTAAAATAGTAGTGGACAAATGTGATCACAGTGCGTCTACTGTATGGTACGTGAAATGTGTATGCGTATTGGTCCTTTTCGACTTACCAAGTGATTCTGTTTTGAGTTAATCTGCAGTAAACTTGAAGTATTGGAGTCAAAATTGCATCTAATATACCTAATCTACCAAGCATGATGTCTAAGCCCAATCTGCATTAAATACAGAGGAAGTTTACATATATTTTTAGAAAGATGGTTCAGTAAAGAATTAAAAAAAAAGTGCTTTGGAATAAAAATTTCTGGCAACAGCTCATTATTTGAAATGAGAAATACCGTATGTTACTTTTAAATTTATTCTCCTTTTAAAATGAGCCCACCAGCGGCCGAGCGGTAAAGACGCTGAACACTGGTAGTTCGGTCCGAGGTTCGAATCCCGCGAACGGGCTGGCTGCATGGGCGTTTTCGTGGTTTTCCCCATGTATAACGTGTATACGAGCCAGTTTCCCTTAGAAAGTCCTCCACGAAAGGCATCCCTCCCCTTAGGCAGATAGCCCTAGTGTGCTTTGCCATAATTAAATACACCATACACCACCTTTTAAAATGTCGCATGGAAACAAGTTGTGGATAGGTTTCTGAACTTTCTGAAGAGAAATATTCCTATTCCATAATTTAATAATAATGTCGATAATTAATTATTTTCAATAATCAGACCGAACGTATAAAAATGTTTTTACATTTTAAACGTTAATTAAACACCCTGAAATATTTCTAAAAATATGTTACACCCTCTGCAAGTTCAGTTAGTTATTTAAACGTAAAGGGCTATCTAGGGAAGGGGACTTTCATTGAGCACTTTCTAAGAGAAACTGACCCGTATTCAGATTACCTGTAGGGAAATCATATAAGAAAAACTACAAAAATCATCCGTGTAGCCATACCGTTTGTCTGGCTTCCAAACCCAGTCGAACTACCAGTATTCATCGGTCTTAACCACTCCGGCCATTCGGCCTAGATTAAATGATCCTATAAACGTAAAAAAAATCACTTAAGCCTTTTTCGTAAAAGAGAATATATTTATTTAATTTCAAATACTATACTTCAGGTTGTCTGTTGAGTACATACATTTTCTGAAGTTCCCAAAAAAGAAATGGGTTGTATAATTCCACTACTTTAGCTTACAGATGAAAGAACAACTTTGAGCTTTATAGCGTCGTAAAAAACAAACAACCAAAAAAGTTTAAATCTTGATTAAGTATCTTTAGTTTTCCAAATGTTTCCAGCAACATTAGACACAGCTTTATTCTATTTATAATATGCATACACTGCGAAACTAATCAAGCTTTAGTTTCCTCATATTTTTCGACATATCAAAAATCCACGTATTGAAGGAAATACAAATATTTTATTAAACTAAATTTTCAATTAAAAACTGAAGAGCAGCTACTCCGTTGTCATCGCTTGTCGATTTTAGACCTTGCTGGTCTTGTGGCGCCATCTACAACTGGTGTTGGAATCAACTATTACTACTAATACCTTTTTTTTAGAAGGGTCAGATTGTAAGCTTTTAAGGCTCAGCAAACCAAATAGCAAACATGAAGATATGAACGGGTAATTTTCTTTTTACTATGAACCGATACTTTTACGTAATGATTACACACACGGTACTTAAAAAAAATAATAAAAGGCTTACATTTATGAATTAAAAAACATTATTATTTAATTGATTAAAATTTCTAATGTGAAGAATGTAATTGTTTTTTCTGAGATAATATTTTATCATTCTAGACTTTGAAATTAGTACTTCCTATATTAAAGTTGTTTACAAATGGTCATCTGTTAATAATGACCTGAAATGCTAATTTACATATTTCATTTTCGAAAATGGCTTTTCTAATTGGTAAGTACTCCCAAATATGGATATCTATCCCCCTGCATATTATTTTAATTGAATGTATATTTATGAAATGGAGTTGGATCCTTTTCTTTAAACATCATTTTTGACGTATGATCATTTTGCAAATCAGTCACTTCTGGTTGAAGGTCTGATGGAAGCTCCTCAATTATACAGTCAAATGGATCTTAAAGCATGGAAATAGCTTTTGCATCAAGATCCACAAAACGCTGTTGTAACTGTATTATAAGTTCAGAAAATATATCCTACTCGAATTTTTGGGGGGAATGGGGATTTCGCTATGCTTTGATTTAGTTGATTATGGCAAAGCACTCTAAAAGCTATCTGCCTAAAGAAAGGTGGAGGACTTTCTAAGCGAAGCTGGCTTGTATACATGTTACACATGAGAAAAACCACGAAAACGTCCATGCAGCCAGCCCGCTTCCCTGGCATGAAACCCATCTCTGAACTACCAGGGCTTAGCGATTTTACCACTCGGCCGCTGTTGGGCCTTTCAACAGCGTGGAAAATGGTCAGATTTGTTTAATATAATTTTCATTTCAAACAATGCAAATTTTCGGCGGTATGCCTTTACGAAAGAGTACATTTCACATGGGAATACTGTTTTTCCCTGTAATTTTAAATTGCATTCGTTGAAACCACGACGTCTGTAGCAAATGATAATTTCCATGCTCATTCTCTATTCGATGATGAAGACTGTGGGTTATTTTCCTCATTAAAAAAATATCTATGACTTTTCTCAGTTCAAAGAATCTCAATAAAACTTTTTCATTGCTCAGGCATCGAACAGGTGTATGGCAAGGCAAATCCGGATATTCAGCCTTCGACCTGTAGTCAA